TGTCCCCTGCCCACTCCTCAAGCTCTCAGTCCTATACTGAGAACTCAACCTCCACACCTGTCCCAATGCAACCCTGCCTATCTCTTCCATTCCAGTTCCATAGTGAACAAACTCTCCTTTATCAAACTCCTTCTTTCGCTTTCTCTCATATACTTTTTTCACCTGTTAGAACTCAGAGACCTGGCTTTCTCCCGATTACCCTGCATCCCTGGCTATCCTTTAGAATACTGGCTGTACCTTCTTTTATATGACAGGTCACACTAGTCCACAAGGGGGAATCAGAATACTCTTATTCTCTACTCTCACTTCAGATTCTCCCTTTGTTTCTTTCACTTTGATAACCTTTCCTCTCCTGAAGTCCACAAATTAAAATTTCCCACCCAATCAAAATTGCGAGATTGATCAGAGTCATTTTGCCTCCTTTCTCAAAATCACCATCTGGTTTGCCCTCTTGATCTTCTCTCAAACTCTTTCCTGACTTATACTAGGGTACTTTAATAAACTCTAATAGTCTATCTGCCCATAACTTCTGAGCATTTCACCTCTCCCTATGCTTCATGTTTTCCAAACCTGTTCTATTGCCTGATCAAAATTTCCATTCCCTCTACCCCTCAGCACTTTCTCAGGCCATTACCCATGCATGCTCCTACTTCATTTACCTCTCTTTCCAACTTCAACCAAGAGTTAGCCATATCAACCCCATACTGTCCTCTGCTGTTGAATTCCTCCCCCACCCCCACCCCCTTCAATCTTCTCTTCCCACATCTCAGCCCTGAATTTCTCCCAGCAGCTTTCTTGCACCTCTTCTACTTGTAAACTGTTGAATGGAAGCTGGAGATCCCACAACCAAGTTGACTAGGTACGGAATTTATTAAAAGTTGATGTTATCCAACCACAACTGGACCTTCACTGTGGTAAGGCAGTCTTTTTATTTCTTCCTAATTGATTCCCTTTATCATTCCCACAGAAGTGATTTCAAGTATCTTTCCTGCTAAAGCCCTTTCTTTACACTCCCTCCCCTCCCAGCTGGGGCTCTTGCTTCTTACTTTACCAAAAAAAAAGGCATAAAATATAAGCTTCCTGTAGACCTCAAAATCCCTTGATATCACCTCCTACTCTCTTTATTTTCTCTAGTCTGTCAGAGAGGTGGCCCTTCTCCTTGCAAAGGTCAACCCCTCTACAGTGAACACTTGATCCCAACTCATCCCATGTTCTTCATAAGGTTGTATATTCAATCATGCCCCACCCCTAAACCTCTACCTATCTACTGCATTCAAACTTTCCCAAGTCTCCCCCATCCTTAAAAAACATGCACTACTAGACCCTACTATCCTCTCAAGCTATTGTCCAATATTTCTCCTTCCTTTCTCAGCCAAATTCCTTTAAAAATCTATCTATAAGACTTAAAAACTCTGATAAATGAAGAGAACCAATGAGAACAGAAGTGATGGACTTAAGAATGAATGCAGAGACATATTTCAAGGACACAGCTAATGCAAGAGTTTGTTTGGCTTGACTGTACATATTTGCTATAAAGGTTTTTAACTTTTTTTTCCCCCAACGAGAGGAAGAAAATGGATTTTTGTTAAATGAAAAAAAGATTAAATTTTCAAAAAAAAGGAATTGTAAGCTTCTTTAAGGGCAACATTAATTTGGTTTTTTTTTGTCTGGATATCCTTAGGACCTAGCATTGTGCCTTCCACATAGTAGGTGCTTAATAAATGCCAATCAAATAAAGCATAATTTTTATGAAATAGTTAATAACTAAAATCATTCCTTAAAAATAAACTTCTTGGAAGGAAAAAAAGTTAAGTTGTGTGCACTGAACTTTTCCATTTCCTCTCCTTTTACTACTGTCTTCAACTTTTTCTAATCTGACTTTAGCCTTCATAACTCAACTGAAACTGCTTTCTCCAAGTTTACCAATAATTTCTTAATTGCCAATTTCCTCAATCCTGCTCCTTCTTGATCTATCTACTGCATTTGACACTGTCCACCACCTTTTCTTCTCTGAATTTTCATGACAATATTTACTCCTGGCTTACCCTACCTGTCTGACCACTCCTCAGTCGCTTTCCTGGCTCTTCCATTACATCAAATCTCCTAACTGTGGGTATTCCCCAATGTGCTGTTCTGGCACTCTTTCTTCTGTATATGAAGGATTCTTAATATTTGTGTCTATTATAGACCCTTCTGGCAGTCTGGTGAAGTCTCTGGGCCCTTTCCCCCAATAATGTTTTCAAATACATAAAATAAAAAACAGAGGATTATGAAGGAAACCAATCACATTGAAAAGGTTATCAAAATACCTTTAAAACAAGTTTACAGACTCCAAGTTAACAATCCCTACTCTAATGCTCTCTCAATAACTTTATCAGATCCCATGGACTTAATTATCACCTCTGTGCTCCTAGATTTATATATCCAGCCCAAGCTATTACGCTGAGCCCCACATCACCAACTGCCTATTGGACATTTCAAACCAGATGTCCTGGAGACATATTAAACTAAATATGTCTAAATCTAAATTCATCATTTCCCCCCCAAAACCTTCCCCTTTCTCCCTTTTTTCTTGAAGGCTACCACCATCTTTCCAATACCCCACATTTGTGATCTCAACTTCTCACTCTCCAACATTCAACATATCCAATCAGTTGCCAGATCATGCTGTTTTTACCACCATAACTTTTTGTCTCAGACCATTCTGCTCTACTCAAAAAGCTATCACTTTAGTTTAGCCCCTTATCATCTCACATTGCAATGATCTCCTATCTCCTTGGCTCGAATCTCTCACTATCCAACTAATCCTACACCTTGCTACCAAAGTATTATTCCATATTCATAGATCTGAACATGCGATCCCTTATTCAATCAAATCCAAGGGCTTCCTATGGTCTCTAGGATAAAAAATAAATTCCTCTGATTTAGCTTTTGACGTTCTTTACAACCCAGCCCCAACCTTTCCAGCCTCATTGCACTGTGATCTGGTCAAATTGGTCTTTTTTCTGGCATGGTATTCTATTTCACCTCTCCATGCCTTTGTATCCACCATACCCATCCCCCATGACTGGATTTCACTCCCCCCTTCTTACTTCTGCTTCAAAAAGTCTCTTCTCCTTAAAGACACAGCTTAAGCACTACCTTCTGGTATGTCTTTCCTGACTCCCTCAACTCCGAGTGTCCTCCTTCCCAAACTATTTTGTATTTAATGACTATATATTTATGTTGATTAACTTTATGTTAATTCTTTATATTTTTTTATATATACATATTTGTCTTCATTAGAACGTAAGCTCCCTGAAAGTAGGGGTTATTTCATTCTTTGTACTTGTATCCACAGCAATTGAGTATTGGGCATTTCAAACTGGATGTCCAAAAGACATCTTAAACCCAACAAATGCAAAACTAAAGTCCTCCTGGACTTCAACATTTGTAACCTTGGCATGATCCTGAGTTCCTCATTCTCCCTCACCCCACATCTCCAAGTAGCTGCCAAATCTTGCTCTACCTTCACAACATCTCTCACATCTGACCCCTCCTCTCCACTCACATAGCTACCACCTTAGTTCAGACCACCATCACCTCTCACAATAGCCTTTTAATTGATTTCCATGACTCAAGACTCTCACCACTCTGGTCCATTCTACACAAGCTACCAAAGTCATTTTGCTTAAGTGCCAATACGACTATGTGATTCCCAAACTCAGCTAACTCCAGCAGCTTCCTACTGCCTCTAGGATAAAATATAGACTTCACTCATTAGCTTTTAACACTAGAAGGCCTAAAATTTAGGAATATTTTTAAAGAACAAACTGCCAATTGATAGTGTATTTTTTTTAATACACGAGGCAAAGAAAATAGAGAGGGTAGGAAGAAAATTTTTATTTCAAAGTAAAATTATGACATTTTGCATCAACTGACATGTTGGGTCCTTCCAGCTTTAAAGTCCTATATCAGCCCACAACCTACTATTCCAGCCTTGATGGATGGTACTTCCCCTCTCATACTCTAAGATCTGGCAAAATTAGCCTTGTCTCTCTTACTTACCACACCACATCTCCCTGCTTTGTGCTTCTGCACTGTCCACTCCCAATTCCTGGAATGTATTCTTCCTTAACTCTACTTCAGAGTAATACTCTTCCTTTAAAAAGTAGCTAAAGCACCATTTTCTACATGAAACCCTTCCTGATTCCCATAACTGCTATTGCCCTCTTTCCCAAACTACTTTGGATTTAACTATTTTGCATATTTGTATTTATTAACTTCATACTACGTATACTTAGTATCTTGGAATATAAGTTGTTTCACTATTTGCAGTTGTATCTCCAGAGCCTAGCACAGTAGCTGACACAGTAGATGTTTTACAAATACTTGACTGATTGGTTGACAGGACTGTGATTCCTTTGGTATAGAAAACTTACCAGGTGAATTAATTCCTTCTATCAATGCAGGTAAAATACCATCTCTACAACATAGAATCTTAGAGTTATCTACACAACTTCAAAGCAAAGTGACTTGCTTGGGGTCAAACAGCCAATTATTTATCAGAGGCAGGACTTGATGCTAAACCACACTAACTTCAAGAATGGCTTCTCTATATACTTCATCATGCTGCCTCTCACGCTCTTTTAGTAAAGGACTAAAGACTAATTTCTTATTTCTCCTTCAATTAAAATGCATTTTTATAAAATTATTTATCCTAGACCTCCGCAGTGGATACTCAGACATAAACTCTTGTTTCTCTTTACAACATAAAGTATTACTTCTCTATACAACTGAGAGAGGGTAACCATAACACAATGACAGGTGAACAGGTCAACCATAAAGCTGAATTTCTAAGCCATTCAAATTAATTCCAATCAGGCAAAGAAATTTTCATGTACAATAGACTTGCATGTAAAGTAAGGCATCAAATCAATCAGATGTACATGCATCTGAAGCTACTAAGTTACAAAACATACCAATAACAAATTGAAATTTTTTATATCTTTTATACATACCTTGCCTTGTTGCATTGAACAATCAACGCATCCTACTTGAATGTTCCCATGCTTAGCTCCAGGGATTATCTGTAACCTTTCAAAATTACTTCCCAGTATTACAACATCACATCCAGAAGCATAAGCCTTTAAAAAACAAAACACAAGCACAAAAAAAAGAACCTTGATAAGTCATGTATACTTCAAATTACTAATCAAAAGAGAATTGAAAATTAAAACCACTGTTAGGTTTTCTCCTCATGCTCAGCAAACTGGCAAAGATGAGAAAAGCCAGGAATAGTCAGTGTTGGATGGGCTATGGAAGGCACATTAAAACGTTGTTGGTGAAGCTGTGAATTGATCCAACCATTCTGGAAAGCAATTTAGAGTTATGATAAGCAAAATGACTAAGATATCCATACCTTTTGATCCAGAGATCCTATTGTTAAGTATATATCCCAAGAAGGTCGATGATTTAAAAAAAGAAAAGGCCCATACACACCAAAATATTTATAATAGTATTTTTCGTTTGAAGTTCCAGCAAAAAACTGGAAACAATTGGGTAATGGCAAAATAAATAGTGGTTCATAAATGTAAAGGAATGTAACTGTGCTTTAAAAAATGATGAGTGCTATGAATACAGAGAAACATGGTAAAATGTATATAAACTGATGAAAAGCAAAGATGGCAGAACTAGGAAAACAGTAAACAAAATGTCCAAAGAATGTAAATGTAAAGAACAACAACAAACCGAAACTGAATTCTGTGAAATTATAATGATTATGCTTAGGCCACAAAGAAGAAATACAAGAATGTACCTCCCTTTCTTCTTGGAAGATGTGGGGGAACTATGGGTATGGAGCACTGTAAAAAAAAAAAGAGTTGATTTGTTTTGCTGAACTGAATTCTATGCACAAGGGACATAGCCAATGGGAAAACAAAGAGATAGGAAATCTAGGTGTTATAAAAACAAAAGATAATAAATAAAAGTCAATTAGAAATTTTAAAAACACTAACTGAAAAAAAAAATAAGATAATTTGCCCAGGGGACTAAGCCTGGAAACATTGATCTAAGTTCCTAGTGAAGTAAGACTTAAAAAACCTATTACATAAATAGTATGTACTCCTCAGGCTTGATGAACTGAGTAAGTTACTGTTACTGAGTAAATCACTACTTCTGAGTAAGTTAAGGCAATTGACCAAGCATCTTTCTGCATGGAGATGAGGAGCCATATCTTTGTTGAATATCCTTCTCATCCTATTGTTATGTAAACTTATAAAAATAATATGTTATATGTGGGCTACCTAGCATATTTCTTCTAATCTCAAGCTAGAACCACTTGACCCGGCCCAAGCAATCTTGGCCCACAAACAGATGGGACCAAAAAGTAGAGGACTTGATCTGGTCTTAGTGAAGAAAAGGACTACCTCCTTAGCAACAGGAATAAAGGAGGAAGTGATGTCAAGGAGTTCTGAGATGTACAGAAAGGCAGAAGAAAGAACTCAGGTGAACAGCCTATATTTTCTCATTGTAGGCAAAGACTTCTACTGAAGTTTGGAACAACAGTTGTGGAAAAGGTGACAGCTAATCAATTAGGGAAAAGTAGGGATTTGATCCTTTTAATGAGGTCCTTGTTGTGGTCAGATAACAAATCTGTAGTGGACCCAATTAATCAGGTTGTGATTTCATACAGCATCATTCAGTCATTTCCATTTCTATAATAACTTCCTCTTCTCTCCATTCATATAGCTACCACCGTAGTCCAGGCCCTTAATACCTCTCACCTAGAATATTCCAATAGCTGTCTAACTGGTATCCCCACTTCAAGTCTCTGAGCACTCTAAAGTCGAATTCATCCATCATCAGCACAGATACCAAAGCTATTTTCCTAAAGCATAGATTTGACCATACCTCCCTCTCCCCATGGAGTACTCAACAAAGTCCTTGTAAAATTTAAGATCAAATAAAACCTCTCCTTCCTTGCCAAGATGATGTATTATTTCCTTTCATGCTCTCTACAATACAGCCAAAATGGCATTCTTGCTGTTCCTCCCAAATGACACTTGTCTCCAGTGCATGTATGACCTTATTACTATCCTACTCAAAAGACTCCAAGGGATCCTGCTGCCTAGGATCATATATAAGCTCCTTTGGCATTTAAAGTCCTCTGAAACCTGGCTCTACCCTACCTTCCCAACCTCGTCATACAATACTGCCTATTCTACATGATAGTGCCTTTCCCACAAAAGTGGCCCTGTGTCTATTTTATGTTTTTTAAAATATATCCTGTGTTTGTACATCTTTCCCCCCAACCCCTTCAGAATGTAAACTCCTTGAAGGCAGAGACTTTTGTCTTTGTACCCAGAACAGTGCCTAGGAACATGGTAAATGCTTAATAAATGGTTGATGAATAACTGCTTTTTAAAAGAAAATTACCTTTCAATATTCACTAGTCAGATGCAAGTATAATAACAAAAATACCATGTTATCAACCTTAATTTCATTTTATTGTATTTGATTTTTCATTTACTGTTGTCATTTTGTTGAAATTCTTCTCTTGTAAATCATTACTATAAATGTTTCCTGTTGTTATTATTCAAGTTACCTTGAAGTGATTTTAAAAATTATTCTTCAATGGGACAAAAACAAAGCAGGTCCAGAGCTGAAGTAAAAGTTATCTGAAAACTACATTTATAAATTAGCATCTTCTTTTGTGGTTTAATTTGAGCAATAAATAGAAATCATTTATTAAGGGTTTAGTATTCATGAGGCACAGTACTAAGCACCGAGGCACAGAAGGTTCCTGCTCTCAAAAGGCATTTATTTTAATGGGGGAAACAACATTTAAAGAAACAAGTATATATAAGATATGAACAGAGCTCAAGTAGCTAGAAAAATGATGACAGGCCTCATGCATAAGGTGGGATTTGAAATGAGCCTTGAAGGAAGCCAGGAAAACTCAGGAGATAAGAAGAGCATTGCAGGCAGGGAAGAAAGGCACAGAGACAGAAGATGGAGGGTCATGTGCTAGGAACAGCAAACAGGTCAATGTAGCTAGATGGGAGGGGGAGCAAAAGGGTGCAGAGTCAAGTCAACAAGTATTTATACAGCATCTACTACATGCTAGCTAGTGTTAAGCTATGGGGATACAAAGAAAGGCAAAAATAGCTCCTGCCTTCAAGGAGCTCACAATATAATGAGAGAGACAACATACAAACAAGATATATAAAGCATAAGTAGGAGATAATCTCAGAAGCAAGGAATTAACATCAAGGAGGACAGAGAAAGGTTTCTTGAAGGAGGCAGAATTTTTGCTAAATCTTGAAAGAAACAAGGGAAGCCAGAAGTAAGAGCTGGGGGATGGTCAGTGAATATGCACAGTCAGGAGATGGAATGTCTTATTCAAGGAACAACAGGAAGGCCAGAGTCACAGAGTCACAGAATCACAGAGTATTAGAAGACTGGAAAGGGAGGAAGAACCAGGTTGTGAAGAGCTTTAAATGCCAAACAGAAGCCTTAGCATTTGATTCTGGAGTAACAGGCAGCCATTGCAGTTTACTGGGTAGGAGGGTGACATCATAAAGACCTAGGCTTTGAGAAAATTTCTTTGGCCACCAATAACCCAAAATGACAGAAATACAGGACATACTATATAAAGATTACACCCATATCCTCTAGGATTGATACAACAACATTTAAAAAAATGCATTACCCCATACATTTTCATAACACCAATTAACATGAAGTTTCCACATGAAAGAACAGAAAGAAGATTTTTTATAAAACCACAAAGTTCTATTACAAAGAACTTACTTTTTTCATGTTAAAGGCCACCTTGCTTGTCAGCACCTCCCCTCAACCTCCTTTTGTTCTCTTTTGTGTTTAAATGCTTCAATAACTGTTTTCTTTTTTATATCACTATCACTTAGCTCCCCTTCCCCCAATCCTCCTCTATTTCTTTTTAAAAATCCCTTGTGACTAATAAGCAGGGCTAAACAAAACAAATCCACACACAGTGTTTAAAAATGCATTTTACAACAGCACAGGAGGTAAGTAATAAGTTTCATTATTAGTCTTCTGGATTTGTGGTTGGTGACTGCATTTATCAGAGACAACTTAAGTCTTTTCAAATTTATTTTTTTTTATCATGTTGTTATTGTACAAACTGTTCTCCTAATTCTTCTGCTCAGCATAAGTTCATATAAATCTTCCCATATTTCTCTAAATCCAACCTTTTCTTATTTCTCATTGCCAATAATATTCAACTGCATTTATATATTGTAACTTGTTCAGTCCTTCCCCAGTAGATCGACACAAATTATTTTCCAGTTCTTTGTTACAACAAAAAGTACTGCAAAAAATGTTTTATACATATGAATTCTTCCTCCTTTTATCTTTGATCTCTTTGGAATATAAGTAATGGTAACAATGGGTAAAAAGATTGGTGACTTTGGGAGCTTTGAAACACAAATTGAACAATTAGTAAATAGTTACTGAAATAGTGATAACATCTTCTCTAAGAAAAGAGCTACCCAAAAGGATAATATTTTGTCAGGCAGTATGCTGGAGTGAAAGATCAGTTCAGAAGACCTGGATTCAAAGTCTACCTCTGACATCTGCGACCTGTGTGACCTTGAGTATAGTCACTTTTCTTCTCTGGCCTCAGGTACATAAAATGATGGGGAAGGATATTCTGTTGTATATAAAGTTGTAAAACTTGTTTTTTCTAATATTTTGATAACTGAATTTCAATATAATTGGTTTCCTTGTAATTCTAAGTATTTTATAGATTTAAAAACATTATTCTGAAAAGGGGTCTACAGGCTTCCGATTGTCAAAGGAGTCCATCACACACACACACACACACACACACACACACACCAAACCCTTAAGTGGATAGGTGGATAGGTAATTAGACAGAAAGGCAGACAAAGCTGCCATTTATTAGGTATATGAATCTACAAAGCTACTGAATATGTGGGAAAATCCTCTTTGTACACAATCAAAAAGATTCATGTAATAATCATATATATTTAATAAAGCTTTGTTCACTTTAAAATAAATTAAACTAATTAAACCCTATTAAGGTCTGCTATTAGAACAAAAGAGACTTCAAAGAAGATTTGGTGAGACACTCAATGCCGAT